CAAATGTTGCTTTTAGGAGTATTGGTTGCTCCTACTGGAGGGCGTTTTGTGGTGGTGAGTGATGTGGGTTTCCCAGTATAGAAATTTTAGAGCAGAAAGTTGAGCAATTGGAGGAAAAAGTAAAAAGGAGACCTGCAGGAGCATCCGGCAATCAAATTCTTTTTATGTGTACCTGCTGACAATATTGTATCATTTGCACGTTGCCTTGTGTTTTTATAATTTATGCTGACCAATGAAAATATGTATAATATTAGCAGAATTAATTCGTATTGACGTCAAAAGTGTACTGTTTTTAAACAATATTTTGTTTCATATTAATATATCACCGACCTCTTTTGGTCGATCGAGTGCATGCTGTTAAAACACGCATTCTCGTAATTTTATTTTACATTTAAGTTAATACTAATAGAGGTTTAAGAGGCTGAAAAGGCCAAGAATTTGCATGAGAGTGCATGCTGAGTTGCCGGGGTGACTTTCTTCTGGCTTATCAGTTGACAGATAAATGGAGAACTCCGCCAAACTAAAGTAAAGCTTATAAACCTTATTTACTAATGGGAGGATTAATTAAATCACTAGAGATGCAATGATGCAATCTGTTTAATGTCTTGTTTCTTTGCTAAGAAAATGTTCTATAACGTCATTAGTTTTGCTTTTGTCTTTAATAATTTCCATTTTCTATATGAAGTTAATTTCAATCATCTTTCTTTTTTCACATTATCCAATTAATTTTTGCTCATCTAATTTATGTTAATTTCCAATTTGCGTTGGTGACAGCGCAGTGTAGAATCACTTCATTGCCTGCAAAATATAAATAAAAATACAAAAGATGAGAAGAAAAAAAAAAAAAACTTATATCTTCTTCTCTATTGTCCATGATGTAATGAAAGCAATCTCTTCTCGTATTTTATAAGAAAATGAGCATATGAATCTATGATTATGATACAGACTAAAAGTGATAAGAAAATGAGCATATGAATCTATGATTATGATACAGACTAAAAGTGACCATATATGTTGCAGATTCTCACCCTAAAAAATCAACTAAACGAATTGTCGATAACAACATGCATTTACTGTTCAAGTAGAATTTAGAAAGAAAAATTGAACTCATGGATGCTTTCATCATCTTTGAGATATTTTGGAACAAAACTCGGAGCCATTTGTGCAGGATTTTCGTCTAAAGGGCAATTTAAGGTCAAATACCATGTACTATGGTCCTCGAACGCTGTTAATCCAAGAAGGAAAATTTGACCGTCTATTATCATCTGTCCGTTCAATTTTATCTTACTTGTTTTGTTACGCAATAGGACTAACAGCTCATAAAAAGAGAGAATTACAAATCAATATCATAAGGTCAAGGAGCAATGTTATTCATATTATATTTTTGTATCACATTTTCATACCATCTTAGGTGTCATTTGATGTGTACAGCCATATCATTTGAATTAATCAGATTTTTAAATTTAGTTCATTATTTAATAAACTAATAATCAAGAAAAACTAGTTAATTAAATAATAATTGTAGTATACGAGAAGTTTTTCTCTTTCATTTCCTTGGATTTTGCAAATTTTTCAAATGATGTGGCTGTTCAATCAGATGACACCTAAACTAATATAGAAATGTAGTATAAAAATATGGTATGAATAACATTACTCAAGGTCAAGAGATATCAACAGAATTAACCATTAAAGATTATTTATAACAAAAAGTTGCTCAAAATAGACGGAGACCGTCTTGTAAAAGATAGGCTCAAATTGACTAATTTCATTAGCAACAAAATTTATTGTCGAATACTACAATTCCAATCGTGGTGCAACATTTCACAAGAATCTTATGGCACTTCATAGATTTCTAGCTTGGGGGCGTAGGCATAGTAATTCGATCTCAAAGTAAACACTGCCAAAGCAAAAACCTGAAAATTTAATTAATAACCTTTTGGCACCTCTAATTGATCATACTTTTTTATTACTCTCTATTAGTACAAAAATCTTCTACATCAGCAAACTAATTGAATAACAAGGGGAGCATCAAGCATGCATCAGAATCTGTATTTTTCCTCCTAATCATTTTGGTTGAGAGAAAAACAGAGACACAGAGAGAGAGAGAGAGAGAGAGAGAGACTGCATCAGATTCCATCACAGATTTTGTATTGGAGAGAATCTTTAACAAAGTAAACGTCATGTCCCCTTAGCTTTAAATGAAAGCCTAAAGTTAAGCCTTTAATTATTTTCCAATAAACATCATTTGTTTCTTAATTAAGACTTTACTGAGAAAGACAAGAGGATCCAGTTCATGGCTTACACAAGCAACTAAATAAATAAAGCACTCACACCTACCTTTAGAATTTTGACCCATGTTGTGATGTTAGTGCCTTACCTTTCCCTTCCATTTTGAATTATTAGTTTAAATTAATCTCCTTTCTTCAACTTAATTGTAATTAAATAACAGCCGGACTAAGCAATGAAAGCCTAGGTAATCCATGCAAACATGTCATGCAAGTAATGGCCATTAGTTTATTTTATTGCTAGTCTAATTACAAAGTTAACAGTAAACCACCATCGAGCTCCATGAAAAAAGCTCTTAGAAGCACGCAATACACATATGTAAGCACCGCAGTCGAAGGTTTGTCTTTATTGATGGTGACTAAATAAGCTTTTAACTTTTAATCTCAACTCGTATGCCTTTCTCTCTTTGTGAGAGCTTGTAGTATTTAGCTTTTAACTTTGTTTTGTGTTCACAGAGCTTATTTAGTTTAGGTTTAACCGTGCTACTAACTTTAAGGGCCAATTTGAATGCCCCTGTTGCTGGTGGTTGGAGGAAAACCTTATATTCTTTATGGTAATGTTGAAAAGCTACGGATGTTAGATCTCTAAAGGATTTTACAAATCGTTATTCCAAGTTACAATGATAAAAATATCACAAGCGAAAAACTTAATGCAGATTATAAGTTGATGTTTCCAAATCCGAACTCCAATGAGCATAAGCACAATCTGATGTTGTTCCATTTTTTGTATGACTTGAATCGCATCGAAATTCATTATTGTCCATGAATTATGATTTTGAAATTTACGAAAGTTTGATGTGAGGTTATGATAAAAATTTAGAGAATTCAATTTAAATTTATGCACCCTTTTAGATCGATTATGAATATCAAAGAAAAAAAGAAGTCGATTGCATGCGTGATTTGTCACTTACTCTTCCACTACCATATTTTAGTAGTAATCGTTGAACTAAATCATTATCCGTATATAATACGTATTTCTCGATGAGCAAAGTTGAGCTAGAGTTTCTGCATTTGGCCTTAAAAATAGCAGAACAAAAGTAAGGTTCGTAATCACATGCCTAGCTGACAGTGATAATGAGGAATCACAGTCCACTATATTTGAAAATTTCCCTCATCGAGTTATCCAAAAATTATACTTGGAGGATTAGTTAAACATATGTTATTCAATCATGATCGATCATAATTAAACATATTAAATCATTGTAAAGATTGCACGTAGCTAGCATTAAGAAAGTCAAACATATAATACACACACACACACACACATACACATGTAAATGGTAGCTGCATCATGTTCTTTTGTTTTGGTCGATTTTATGGTTAAACCTAATAAAGATAAAGAAAGATCGTTGTCCCATTAAACCTGTGATTAATTAAATTTTATAAAGAACAAATATGAGTCAGTTAACATGCATGCGACACACCATAATACTATATGCAGCAGAATTGATTATTAATAATATTTCACTTTCCAATTTTTCTTTTCTTTTGCATGTTTGCTGATGCATATATTTCACTTTCAGTTCAAGAACAACGAAGCCAATGATAAGAAAGCAAATAAGTCCCCGCCATGAGAACCCTATTTTTTATGGGTAGAACTACAGTGAGCGGTCTAAACTCCGAACCCTGTTTCTTTCTTTCTTCCAAAAAAAAAAAAAAAACAAAAAAAAACAGATAAAATGAATCTAGCCAAATATAGGCTCTTGCATAAAGAATCAAAATAGTATGATGTGCTACTTCTTGTCTACAGATCCTTGAGAATCCCTTGAAGAGACTTGGTCTCGCCATGTACACAAAAGGGTGAAAACGTTATTTAGAACGATTCAAAAATGTTATCATGCATTGTAAATTTATAAAAATATAAGAAAAAATTTGTATAAGAAATGTGTGATATTTTTGAAGAGTCAATAAGAGAACAATTTTATAAAAAAAAAATTATCCGTCCATAAAAAACTGTATCAAGGGATGGAAAATAATTTTCGTAACGAAAAACAAAAATAAAACATTAACTTTAAGGAAACAGATCGACACTGGAAAATTACAAAATTAGTAAAACCAATACAAGTATGATATTTATCATGCCAATTGTTGTTAGATCATCATCCTTCATTTTTGCTTGTTGATAAACATGTCTTACTTGAAGAATATGTAGGCCTTGCATTAGACTAGTTTGATAAGCAAAACTGGATCGGAATGGATAGGTATCCATTTTCTGGTCAAATTGAAAGTAGAAGTGAACGATTTTTTATTTAGAGGTGATTAGAAGAGGATTAAACATCGAGAAAACTAATCCCATCGAAACCTTCATTTTGGGAAGGATTGGAACGGGTAAGCTCCATTTATGAGTAATCCATCTTCTACCTTGTAGTTGATAATTCTGTCATCACTCTCCTCAACATGCATTGAGTTTAAAGAGTTATCAACTCCAATCCAATCCTACGTATCAAACTAGCCCTTAATGCGACATTTAGTACTGATTAATATGTCCCGGTGTATCCCATTCCTATATACCAAGATTTTTTACATCAAATCCTCATCCTAGGATCCAATGATCGAGATATAGTGGCTAAAAATCTCAGCATATAGGAGACAAAGGAGCATACTTGCTTTCAAACCTGAGAGAGAGAGAGAGAGAGAGAGAGAGAGAGAGTTTGCTGAAGTGAACTAAAAATAAAAAATAAAAAAAAAAAAAAAAAGAAAAGAGAAACCTATTTCTGTGTTGAAACTATAACTTATATATCTAAATTCATATCAAGATTCAGCTTTACACGAGATCCTAGAAGCATCAAAATCTAAGAAAATTATAGAGGTATTATCCTTTGTTCGCACTGTTCTAGCCTCACTCAACAAAATATTAGCAATCTTCTCTGCCAAAGTCTCCCCGTCCATCGAGTATCTCTCTTTCGTCTATACAACACCAAGTCAAAAGAGCCAGAAAGAATAACGTTAAGCGAGTAATTATACAATATCGATCCTTCTCACAGAAAATTAAGTAAAGGAAAAGAAATAAAGATACTACCTGAAGAACTAGCTGAATCGCCTTCTTCGCACTAATTACATCCCATAAGCCATCACTGCAAACCCAAATTCCAGAGTTAATCTTCCATTAAGCATAAGCATTGAATTATTCTCTTGTGCAGTATTGAAGTTCAGAACGTAAAATTTTAACAAAGTCAAATCAAAAGGCACAATAACCTGGCCATTATCGCAAAGGCATTGCTCGTTCGATTGATATGAACTACTTGGCTAATGTATGGTTCACAACTGAAGCGGGAATCCTGCTGTTTAAGAAATTTGTCTCCAAGCATCCGAGCAAGGTTCAAACCTGAATAATTGGAGCAAAGCGTGAGGGATTACCAACATCTAATCATGTAATTCACAAACAAATGGAAGTGATCATTACCACATAGGCGTGTTTCCCCCTCTTTCAACGGGGCTCCTGTTTCCTGGATTCGGAGTCTTTCACCATAACTACTAATTCTATGGTCCTCGGTCATCTTAATCAGCTTCCCATCAACACTTCCACAATTAAATCATACTTGGTTTAAAACAGGGATAGGCAGTTTAAAACAGGGAAAGGCAGGTTTACTTTTATCCTAATGGAAAGACGAATTGATGAAAACATACTTCATAACACAAGCTGAATCTCCAAGATTTGCACATTGCACAAAGAAATTGTCACCACCGTCAGTCCAAACCAGAAGCAGAGTGGCAGTACAGCCCTGCAAAAGATGGTCCATCATATTATGCAAACCACAAACTTTAACTGCTAGTAACAGAAGCATCTGAAATGCATATGAAAAGGAATCAATTTTAGATGTGCGAGTCAACTGCTTCAGTTTCTAATAACACAAAAAGTGCAACTAATGGACCAAGGTAAATAGAGTGAAAGGAAAAACCTCGTAGTAGTGATTCATGCATGTTTCTGTCTTAAAAAATGCATCCCTGAGAACATCTGAAGCATCACATAGTGACAAGACCCTCTCCCTTTTCAGCGAATCCGATAAAATGTTAGCAACGATCTGAGGAAGAAGCCTGTAAAATAAAAGGACTATTAGATAACTACAAAAGCATCCATTAGAAACATAGGACACTTAAATAGTAAAAGAAATACTAACTTGCTAGCAGATCTGGCAGCCTCTGCTCCACCATGTCCATCACAGATACCAAAAAGTCCAAACTGAAAGGCAAGAACTTAAGTGATATTAGCTCTTTCAGAAACTAGCAAAGGTATTTCAATGGAAGCAAACACAACGACATAAGCTCTGAAACCTGATCAACCCCGGGAAGAGGCCATTGATAGTAGCACACATCTTCCATTGGAAGCTTCTTCCCTCCACGACGCAGAGCCATGGGATCTGAAGCCATGCCAACTCCAAAGGGGATCTGACTCCCAGTTTCAGATGCAACATGAACCTGCCACAAAGGATAGGAAATTAGCAAATGTTATGTCACCTATACAATACAATTTGTGAACACTAGATATCCTCACTATAAAGCCAACAACTAAGTGAATCAGGATAATAAATATAGAATAAACAACTACCATGATCAATCAAAGCCTTACCACAACATAACATAATGTATAACATCAAGACTTTAGATCGGTTTTCTATTAGAAATCTGTTTGTTATGTTCAATAAGAGAGGCGCTTGTACAGACAAAAGGAACTGCAGACCAACAAAATTAAAGGTACTTGGTCCTTCTTTTTTTTTTTTGTCAAAAAATTAAAGGTACTTAGTCATAAATACTACAATGCTACCCCAAATTATTTTGGAACCATATATGTTTATTCTTTTCACCTTTTCTCTTTGCTTAGTCAACCATGGAAAAGGGTACTATATACATAGAATCATTAAAGGGGGCATCTAAGAAGCATATAATTTAAGTCTCTTTATCATAGAACATTATGGTATAATGGTAGGTTTGTCCTATTATATTTACACAGGCAGGTTAGAACATCAGTCTTGGGTCTTGCAACTATTTTGTATACCATATGAATCCAAGTACTTGGGTCTTGCAACTATTTTGTATACCATATGAATCCAAGTACTTGTATTCATTGAAACGTATATTGTCTAATATAAATTCTTCTCAGTAGCAGAAGCGACAGACAGCCAAAGTAAAATCAGATTAATGTGAGAAATTCAGAGTCCTAAAAGTGTATCTATGTCGCCCAGCCAGAATGCCAGCGTTTCTCTATTTTGTGTATGTTCTGCATAAATATAATTTAACTAGCATGAAAACGATTACTATTACGCAAAAACAGTAATGTTATATTACAACTGAATGCATATGTACATTTTTTTTTCTTCACTCGGATATAAAGGCACATTGACTTACGAACACTTTTGAGGTCGTTCCGAGTGTTATTACGTCTCCACTTGCAAGCTCCACGGGGTTACCCCAATGTCTACCTCCAGAATCAGGATTATTGATTGGTTGAGAGTTCAGAAGTGTTCCATTCAGGCTGCCCATGTCGACCAGCTCCCATTTCATTTTCTGCAGCCAATGATCAGGATTAACATTATTATTATACCACAAACACACAGATGCAATGCCAAGAAATTCAAAGAGGTAGTAGTTGTTATGCTTACGTTTGAATTCCAGTTTATCAATGCATGCTTTCCTGATACCTCCGAGTCCTTCAATAATAAATCACTTGGAGGAACCCTTCCCAGGGTCATAGGAAGCCTGGAGGAATTTGTTGACTGTACTGAACAACGAAGTCCATGGGAAGGACCGGATATGACCTCCAGGTTGAGGCAGGTTCCTGCACTTCTAAAAGAAGAATATGATCACGTGTTTTACAGTCAACTGTATAAAACCATTAGAAGAAAAAACACTTCAAACATGTGAAAGGGATAAGAAATTACTTTGATTCAAGGTATCCTTGGGCAGAAACTCTTGAAATCTCTCTTGTTCTAAACTCTGTCTACTGTTCTTCTGCTCTTCCAGTAACTGCTGGATTGCCAATGGACGCTTCAGGGTCTGACCAACCAAAATATCCTCTGGAGCATCAGAAATCACATCTAGGACAAAGCTATCACCTGAAATAAAGTGAAGCATAAATGTCTGATCTTGCTAAGGATTGAAATTGCACTTAAATGCAACTAGTACAAGAATTATTTAAAAGTTATTCCACTTGATGAACTTAATTACTTTGAGTCAAAATGGGAGGTGCAGTGGGAAGCCTCGGCTTATGCACAAGTCCTTGTGGTCGGGGTGAGCGAAAATTCCCTTCACTTGGAAAGCATGCTCCCTCTAGATCATAACCTCTTGGAAGCTCATTGCCCTGGTTCCGGACCAAATCAGCATCATCCGAAACAAGGGGTCTCTCAAGCTCACCAACCTAAACGAAGAATCACAAGGTGTGAAACAGCTTAATAATTACTGGGTAAACCAAATGATAAATCATATATCCAAAGGGAAGCACTTGGTATTCACGTAATCATTGAGAATATTAATAGAGATGCAAGACAACAATCATCTAGTGAGATGGCTTGACTTTTTGAATGGTCACATAACGCCTGCCCTTTTCACACTTTGTCAGAGTGTGTAGTTTTGTTACTTTGTAGTCTCTTGTATAAAGCTCGTGCACTCGGGCACCACACCTTGGCACTGTTTCAATTACTCTTTTATCAATGTAGGCTTCTGATTTCATTGCTTTCTCGGAGATAACAAACGCAACGCAGAAAACTAAACAATAGAAAACATATAATGATAGAATCTTCAACAATAGAAATCAGCCCCCGCTCGAATGTGAAATGAAGAAACAGCTTAACAGAGTCACATACATACATCAGCATAAACACAAAACAACAACTAAGCTGTAACATTAACCCACAAAAGCTCGAACTCCCAGCTTCAAAGTCTTCAACTTTACCCCGAAACACAATATCAAAACCGAAAAAACTCGAGGGAACCGATTGAAACACGAAACGAAACTAATTATGCGCATCAAATCATTGATCACACTCGAATCACCACAAATGCTACTTGCACATTCCGAGCTAAACTGATCAAAGTGGAACAAAGCTACAAGTCTTAGGCTGTAAGCTAACTAGCAATCCGAAACACACCAGAAATTCCCATTAAAAATCCAGTGATCAAACAAGGTCAAACCCGATGCGTCAAAACATTCAAATTTTCCTTCCGTCTTTCCTACGTTTTCTCGGCAACCAAACAGAACATTGCACTGTAGGCGTTCTCTCGAACGGAAAGGAGGATCGAAATCGAACCTCTGAGAATTTCGCAATCGAAAAAAAAAAAAAAAATTGGGGGAAATAGTTGAAAGAAAAGAGGGGAGGACGAGAATACCTTGATAGTGCGAGAACGAGAGGAGGAGGAAAAGAAGCGCCATGGTTTGCAGGCGAGGAAGATGAGGAGGAGGATCAGAAGAAGCATAAGGAGAAGAAGACCGACAATGCTCACTAGCATCGTCATCGTCATCGATCTCTCTCCTCTCCACCAGATAGAGATTGTCTTCGAGTTTGCGAGAAGCTCGCTTTGAAATGGTCGCACATTTTTTACTTTTTTTTTTTTCACTTTTCCATTTTCTTTTTATTATTTACTTGTTCATATAAAAAAGGTATTCGGTTTTTCAAAAGGACGCTTTACCGTATAAGTGAAAAATATTTATATTTCTCTAAATTTTTTTGCTGGTTTAATCTTTATTGATGTCTTTCCTTTTTTTATCAATTAACAATATAACTTACTAATTTACTAACGTTACCGTTAACTATAAAAAATAGTCTTTATAATAATAAGTGTAGTTTTTTTATTTATTTATTAAATTAGATTTGTTTTCATTAGACAAAATGATCATAAGTTAAACAATCATTAAGCGTAAATTAAACGATTATCGATGATTATTAAACAAACATTATAATTCCACACTTCTACCCTCCTACTTCAAATGTCGGGAGGCATTGCTTTGAATTGAAAAAAACTATTGTTAGAATATAATTAATGATAAAAAAAAAGCTAACAAAATAAAAAGTCAAAAGCTAAGTGCAGAAAACCGATCCAATCCAAAAACAAATTAACAAATAAATAAATAATAGTTTTTATTTATTTATTTATTTGTAGGATAACAATATGTTTTACACTAAAGGAATAAGAATTTTGGCTATACCACACAATGGGTAATCTAATTTAATGTTGAATTCATTATCTATGAGATTCGAACTTAAAACCTCTCAATTACAAATAAAGAAAAATACCAATATATCATAATATTGAGCAATGTTCTAAAAAACGCTAAGCATTAATCGGGTTGCAGGATAGCGCCTAGCGGCTAGGCGGCTAGACTGGGTCTAGGTGGGGGTCTAATCGGATTTATGTAAATTTCTTGTATATCTTGTAAATAAGTGTATATTGACACTTACAAAAAATTAAACTTGTATGAAATTCATTGATAAGATAATAAAAGAATAATAAAATGCAAAAAGAGTATCCAACAAGTCCAAAATTTAAAAACACATTAAGCATATATGTCATAGAATCATAGTGAGGAGTATTATAAAATGACACTGTAAACACGAAAAATTCCTGAAACAAGAAACAAGAGTACGTGTACAAAAATAATATTTTTGTATTAATGATTTTTAGGGTTACAATCTCTTTGTAATTGGATCCTCTGATTCTATCTTCGTAGGGTGTAGGTTTGTGGATGAGCTGTTGATCCAAAGGGCCGTCGGGGCTTGATCTAGGGATGAACAGTTGATGAATGGATCTTCAAGGGGCGTTGGGCTTGAACTTGAAGAATGGGTGTATAGGTTTGTTGAGATTATTGATCCAAAGGGCCGTTGAGGCTTGATCTTAGGATGAACGGATGATGAATGATGAACACTTTCTTCAAGGGGCCGTCGGGGCTTGATCTTGAGTCGGTGAAAGTTCTTCAAGGGCCGTTGGGGCTTGACCTTGAAGGAGGATTTGACGAAGAACGAAGAGTGTTTTCTTGATCCTTCGGGATTTTCTTGAGAGCTTTAGAGTTTCAAGGCTTCAAGGTTTTGGTGTAGGTTTCTAAAATTCCTTCTTTTTTTTTCTCTTGATGGAAATGGCTATTTATAGGCCAAGAGAGTGAATCACCACCATCCATTTTTTTTGGTGAAATGAGTGGAGTTGGTAGGTGAAGTAAATGTGTAATGTAGGTGAAATGAATGTGTGATGTAAGTGAAATGAATGTGTGATGTAAGTGAAATGAATAAATGTTGTAATTTTAATACATTGGTTAACATTTATTTCACTGAAATTTCGGTGTCTACAAATGCCCCCACTTCAAGGCGCGTCGTAAACACATGCTTATCATGTGTAGAAGATGCGTTTTGAAGTCCCTTAATGTAGATGTCAACCCAAGGGTCGTCGAGGCTTGATCTTGAATTGGGCTAGACATTTCTTCAAGGGCCGTCGGGGTTTGAACTTGAATTCGACTGGAAGATTTTCTGGTTTCCTCCAATCGTTGATTTTCCACAAGCTTAATCTTGAACTGGGCTGGAGGTTTTTTTTTTTTTTTTTTTTTTTTTTGTCTCCTCCGAAGGTCTGAACTTACTCTTCTTATCTGGAGTTTGAATTTGATTCAAGAGTGGCGAACACTTGATTTTGAATCGGACTTGTGATTTCTTCAAGGGCCATTGAGGCTTGATCTTGAGTGAAAATAGGACCATGAGCGGTTTCAGGATTCAGACACAGGGCAGGCAAGCACGAGGTGAAGGTGATGACTTTTTTCTTTGTTCAATCTTTCCAATTCATATTGAAGAGGGTTAGAGGATGACTCAGCATATGCAGTTGTTGCGTTTGCTGACGATCCACAAAATTGATGTTTCATTGTCACTAGTCTTAGCTGTTCTCCAGGCAGATATGGTCCCTTCTCTAGAAGTGTATCAACCGTTGAAGATGACTACTCGAGAGCAACGCTAGGTAAGCAACCAGGGAATAGATTCCAGGCAGTCGGTTCCAGATCGGAAGACTAATTCCGAGTGCCGGCTGATTGCTCTCTTTCTCTTTGCCCTGCGAGTAAGAACAAGGACAAAGGAAAGGACATGGAGAAAACATGATCTGAGATACTTTTGCTTTTTGAAGAAGTGTTGACGATTTAACAGCGTCGCGCGGGCGAGGCTTTGCTCTTTGGCGATGGCGCCAGCGGAGGGTTGTTGAGGCTTCTCGAGCTCTTTGATTAGAACAATGACGTCGAGCTTGGATTTGACTTAAACTCATCTGTCTGGATGGTTCTGCAGGGGAAAGTGTCGCGCTCCAGCAATTTGTTCCAGCTCCTTGTACCGCATTCTTTTCTGCTTGTTTCTTTTACATAGCCCGAGGTGGTACGCAACCCTTTGCCTTTAAATGGTCTTTCAGGGCATCATTTCTCAGTAATTCATCTATGCTTGGCAGCTTCAGTGTAAGGAGCCGACACTCCGTCACCTGTCCTGAAGTATGCGCTGAGGGAATTCGAGACTCACCAACAATTAAAGATGAGTACTCGAGAGCAACGCTAGGTAAGCAACCAGGCAAAGGTTCTGGGCAATCAGTTCTAGATCGGAAGTTTGATTTCGGGTTCCGACTGATTGTTTTTTTTCTCCTTGTCTTGGAAGCAAGAGCAAGGGCAAAGGAAAAGATAGGGAAAAAGCATGATATGAGATACCTTTGTTTTCGCCCTTGATGATATGAGATACTTTTGCTTTTGAAGAAGCAGCGAATGAATCAGCACATATATTTGTTGCGCTTGCCTCCACATGCTTCGATCTACCGTTTCTTCCTGCCTCATCTGTACTCCAGGCATCTGGTATCTTCTTTAGGGGTACATCAATGGTTGAAGATGAGTACTTAAGAGCAGGGCTGGATAAGCAATCAGGGAAGGGATTCCAGGCAGTCGGCTCCAAACAGGAAGCTTGATTCCAAGTGCCGACTGATCTCTCTCTCTCTTTGTCTTTCAGGGAAGAACAAGAACAAAGGAAAGGACGGGGGAAAGGCATACTATGAGATACTCTTGCTTTCAACCCTAATGATATGAGATACGTTTACTCTCGAAGACTTGGTTGAATAGGTGTTCTCAAGGAAGAAGAAAACTAAGCATATTGAGAGATTTGGTTGCAACTACATTCTCGGCCGAGAAAAAGAGTCATGCGTTTTTGGATGTATGTCTTACCATGAATGTTGACATATATAGGGATTTTAATGGCAAGTAGTAGTGCGGGTGCGGCTTTGTCACCCACGCTTGTCGGCAAAAGTGTGGTGGTTGGGATAATGACCTTCACGCGTTTTCAACTTTGTTAGAGATTTTTGACAAAGTTGCACGTGTTATCTGAAAAGCTGAGGTTGCGTCTGAAAAGCATTGACGAACTTTACGCAGGAAATCTGGCTTTTAAGATTTGAAGAGTGGTGTCTCTTCAATTTTTTTTTGAATCGGTGGCTGTGTCGCCTCTCCTTTTATAGAGGTATCGATTACATCCAACGTGCACACTTTGAAGATTACCTGCTTGTGAAAATCATCTCCGGTGTATTTTTTTTTAGATTTTACTTCGTCCCACCCTTTTCTTTTAACATCTTTGAAAATGGCTAACTTATCTAACATTTGCTTAGATTTGAGTCTCACCGGTGATACAGGTGCGCCGCGTCAGGGTAATATATGGTGCCTGTCTTTCTTATCTTCTAATGGTCCTCTTACAGGTGAAGACTCCGTGATGCAGGATGCAACAACGGCTACGGTAGTAGCTAGGAACCTCCTCACTCCTAGAGATAATAGGCTGCTTTCAAGACGGTCCGATGAGTTGGCCGTTCAAGAGTCCCTAGCTCTCAGTGTTCAATGTGTGGGCTCTGTGTCCAACATGGGCCAACGCCTACTCGCTCGATCCCGTCAAGTTGAATCATTGATGACGGAGGTGGAAAATCTTAAACAAGAGATCAAACATCTTAAGCGCGAGAATAGAGATTTGCACGTGCTTGCAAATAATTATTCGACGAGTATGAAGAGAAAGCTTGATCAGCTGCAAGAATCTGAAGATCGAATTCAAAGTGACCGTCAAAGGCTTGCGGCTTTCTTCCAGAGGCACCTTTTTCCTTCGTCATCTAGCGTTCAACCAAGTATGGAGGCCTCGAATGTTCTATCTTCGATGTCTCCCGCTCCTGGAGTTTTGCCAAGTAGTGGGGCTTCACGTGAGCAAACTTTGTGAAAGCTCCATCTTTTTTTTTTTTTTTTTTTTTGTTTGTACGCATTTGTAATTTCTCGAAGATCAATGGACATGCTTTATTTTATTCAGTGTATTGTGCTAAATACATATAAAACATATATATCACCAAGATGTGTTATTTCCTTTTTATTTTTTTTTATTTTTTTTTTTTTTTTATAAACACACTTTTGCAAGTGGCCACCATCCTTCCCTTATTTTCTTCTTTGCAACAATTCTGTCACCTTAAAATTTTTTTTTTTTTTTAATCACACTTTTGCAAGTGGTGCCGTGCACCACCCTTTCCTTATTTTATTCTTTGCAATAATTATGTCGCCCTCCTTTTTTTTTTTTCTTTTTTTTTTTTCAATCACACT